AACACAGAAATAATACTTGTTCAAAAATAGTCCATATGCTCAGTGGAAAAAAAAATCGAGAAAGAACAAAAGCAAAATGTCGAATTTCTAAGCAAATTTATTGTATAATTCACGATTGCATTTCAAGAGTTAATTAGTGTACAAGGGAAAAGTTTCGGCACGAATCTCAAGAGATCGGAAGCAAAACACAGTGGGATCCAAGCCGTTCCCCATCATGAAAACTAATGGTGAAGCTGTTGAAATTTAGAATAATGCGGAATAAAGTGAAATATTTAATTATTTCATTGATATGAACGAGGGTATAAATAACTCAAAATCCTATAATAGAAAAAAAAAAATAAAAAGTAAATGATATGAAAAAAAAGATATATGACTTGATATCTCCAATAATTAATTCATATTAATTATTAGGAGATATAGGAAATAACATAAAATAAGAAAATAAATAATTCCTAATTCAAGAAAATAAATATAAAATAGAAAATGAAATATCTCCTTATATTAAGGAAATAATTTATTCCTGATAACTTATTATAGGAATAAATTATTTTCTATTATAATTCTTAAAACTCCCCCTCAAGTTTGAAATGTATGTTAATAATTTTTAACTTGCTGAGTAATAAAGAAAAATTAGTCGTTTGGATTATCGAATTTGCTAGATTCAGACTTAACTGAATTTTGAGTTTTGTCTGTCATATGTTTTGCTGTAGAAGAGAAATTCAGACTTGACTGAATTTATTGGATTCAGGCTTGACTGAATTCTGAGTTTTGTATGTCATATGTTTCGACATAGAAGAGAGATTCAGACTTGGCTGAATTTGTTGGATTTAAGTTTGGCTGAATTTTGAGTTTTGCAGGCAACTGCAGGAGGAAGAGCAGGCGATGGATTTTGCCGGCATTGTTCGATCCACGACAGTGATATCTCCGGCAAGATGGCGATGAGGTGGGTGGTGGCATTGCTGGTGTTGTTGCCTTGGCTGGAGCCCCTGTCACGACCCCCTTCTTTTCGATTTGTTCGACTCATGTGGACGTTGCGCGCAACGAACACAACATGTTCTATCTCGACTGCGGTGACGCCGACTATAGATTTTTTGAAGGTCAGTAGAGTCGAAGCTCTCGGTTCAGGAAGAGTCGGCTAACAGACAAAGCTTACAGGGAGAGAAGGAGAAAAAATTATTGTTTCAAATACCAAGATGAGTGTCCCTCCCTTCTCGCATAGAGGATGACGGAAAGGGAGTGCAACAATTCTCAAAGGAGGATCGGTGGCTAGGGTACGAAACATTGCTCTGTTACCATGTTGAAATTTAGAATAATGCGGAATAAAGTTGAATACTTAATTATTTCATTGATATGAACTGGAGTATAAATAACCCTTACAATAATCCTATAATAGGAAAAATAATAAAAATGAAATGATATGAAAGGAAAGACATATCACCTGATAACTTCAATAATTAATTCATATTAATTATTTGGAGATATAGGAAATAACATAAAATATGAAAACAAATAATTTTTAATCCAAGAAAATAAATATAAAATAGGAAAGAAAATATCTTCTTATATTAAAGAAATAATTTATCCCTCATAACTTCTTATAGGAATAAATTATTTCCTATTATAATTCTTAACAGAAGCTAAGCGCTCGGGTCCTACAATACTATCGGACAACAACCTCCCTAAACATCACCAAGAGTCTATAACACAGAGCTTAGCCATCTCTTGGGACTTCTTCGTCTAACAGCAGCTACATATCGATTTGCGGTGATTTACCCTCTACCAGAGAGCTTAGTTTTGCTCTGCCAACAGAAGTTTCTCATCAGGAATCAAGGATCGACGACCAGAGATGACCAATCCTTTGACAAGACTTAGCTGATCGAATCAATCTTGCAGACCCCTGTTAGTAAAATGTCAGTCAACTAGCAAGATTAAGCCCAACCGGCCGGCCTGCCTCACTAGACTAACTAACCAATAGTATTTACCAAGCTTAATCAGTTGACAACCCGCACCAAGGGGTTGCCAGTCCAGCCAGTCCAGCCCTAAAGCAATCAAACTCTGGGCCTACATATGTAAAATATCTATAATAACTTGTACAATTAACAACCCCCACTATGGCAGTGGTATAAATTTAACTTCACATATAATTACTGTTCAATTCTCTCTCTCTCTCTCTCTCTCTCTCTCTCTCTCTCTCTCTCTCTCTCTCTCTAAGCTGGACAGCTAAGGAAGAAGACAGAGATTACAAAGGACAGCTACTGAGGTATATAATTCCACCCTTTCCCTTAACTTGTATACACGTTGCTGTATTTATAGTATCGGACAGGGTTATGATAGTAAATACATTAATCTATCAGACGGCTGATATAGAGAGGTGCAGTTGTTATCCTAACTGAATGGAGGTTTTATTGTGATGGGGGATCATCTGTCTCATGTGCTGTCTAT